CCCCAAAACCCCAAAACCCCAAAACCCCAAAACCCCAAATGATTGGTTACTAATAGAAATACCTATTACGCCACTCCCGATGGACTCCTGAATAATATGAAAATATTTTTTAATTTGATATAGCTCACTAGTCTATAGTTCACAGTCAAGGTGAACTCCTAGCTTTTCGAGCAGAATAAATATCATCACAGCCTGACAGCTGTAGTATGAGGTCCTGAACAGAGATCCCTTAAAAAAGATCTCATAAGGCGAAGACTTTGATAACATCTTTCTGAAATTCATTTTAGGGTTAGCTTGCTTATGTACGGTGAGGAACTCCAACGGGTTTGTAAAAAATCCTCCAATAGCACCTGCTATTGCGGAAGAGACGATAATATGAGCGAGCTTTTTATCCTCTTTGTGCTCAAAAAGACTCTCGTGGTGCTCATTTGGGAGCGCTACTTTAGGCTCCTTAGCATCTTCATTAGATTTGGATAGGTACATCATAATCGTTTCGTACACCGAGAATTCCAATGTTGTGAATCCAATAAAAGTAAGTGAATAGAATCCTAGACCTCTGAAAAAGTTCTGAGCTCGGTACTGAGAAGTCTTTTCCTTCCTGATTTTAAGAAATGCATCAACAACATTTTTGTAGTTGTATTTCCCTTTGATCTGCATCCGTGTTTTGACCAAATCATAGGGATAGTAGATACTAATGGCGCACAAGTTTGCCAATGTTGATGCTCCAGCACTCATTATGAACACGGAACTAAGACTGGTTTTATCAATGTTGTACTTATCCATCTTTACCTTAGTAAAATCTTTGAGCTTCTTGTACAGAATGAAATAGATGAAGGAGCTCAAGGCCATGCCATACAGTACAGGCTGAATTCCTCTCATGAGAGAAGTCACTCCTTTCTTTTGGATGAACTTGGCGATCTCAAAGTTCTTGCTAACCTTCGACTTCATGTTTAAGGTGTCGATAGGCTGACAAGCAAGTTCCACAAAGAGAGTAGCTGCAATTCCTGCGAGACCCATCCTGTATAATTCGCTCTGAATGGTTGGTCCAACTGTATAAGTGTACAGCATGATACCTCCAAAGGTAGCTCCGCATACTTTGTACCCAGTTCCACCATTCCTAAGCTTAGTAAGGGCGAATTTAGCCATTTCCTTCATTCTGAATCTTGATTGATGTAATACCTTCATTTTAAACGATACTATTTTATATTTAAAAGTCCTATAATTTATAATAGCAAGGGGTTTTGGGGTTTTGGGGTTTTGGGGTTTTGGGG